TCGCAGGATCAAACGCTCCGTCCTTCCGGTACATCAAGTAGATGGACTTGGCTCATAAGTACTGACCTACGTGATACGCATCTTTCATTTCCGCTGCGCGCCATCGCTACAGCGTCATCTCCCTACGTTACTATGTTGGCTTGAACATCTCTGCCTCAGTACGCTGCTAAACGGATCATGTGATGAAACACTGGCTATTGCTCGTCCTCTGCGACGCTTACATGCTGAAGAACACATCATAGCATTGTCATCCCTACATAGTACATACCGCTCCCACGACCTCCTTCTCTCAACAACATCCTCTTGCTGCCTCGGACGCATCAATGCTCCCATCAACCAGCATCACTTTTCCAGGCTCGCTCGGTGACTTCTGCAGCTGCGACACCTAATATCCAGGTGGTATTCTCACTCGCGGGCTATGGAACATCAACAGGGATCCTGCATGGCGAGCTGTTGGGCATCATAGCCGCGATTTTACTATCTATTCACGCTAACCCGCAAGAACCCTACTCCGTTTTGACAGATCACAAAAATGCAGTCCACATGATACAAGAAGTACTTCCCGGTGCTCTACCCCACGTCTGGAACAATAGCCAGCGCGTTCCTTGTATCGCTGCTTACTTTCACTTCTACACTTTCCAACACCCGCGCCCTCACTCGTCTGGACCGCCGCTCATACCAACGACCTTGTACCAGAATGTATCGCCAATGATTATGTTGATCGGATGGCCTCGTTTGCGCAAAACCAACGCGGTGTTATTCCCTGGCAACTTTCTCAATGGATGACTACACTATGTTTGCATCCGGTTATGGTTGTGTTGAAAACAACTTGTCCTCTTTCCTCGTTTCTAGGCTCAAAGATTCTTATGCGTTGAGCGACTCCTTTCGTCCAGCGCGAGCCCTGACTCTTGCACTGTATGACAGTCGTCGCCTGCCGGACTTCCCACACACTCGGGCATCTAGCTCTTTCTCTGTTGTCGTACAATTGTATGTCTCATCATCACAACTTGATACCGCAGAGGTGTGGCATCGGCGTTTTCATGATACGCAGCCCTGGTGTCATTTTGGTTGTGATGCCTTTGAGAGCGTTCACCATATTTTTGCTCGCTGCCCGGCCTTCTTGGCTATCCGTCGTGCGCATGACATGCAGCTGTGTGATGAGAGCTCTTCGTTGCTTGAGGGCAAGGCTGCCGATCGTGTGCGAGAGGTCTTGAAACGAGCGGCTCAGCGCCTGTGTTCTGACGACGCGGGGCTTTGGCCACAATATCGGACGCGTTTTTACATGGGTGTGCTACCTCCACTTGCGCGTATTGTGGGCAACATGACTGAGACAGAAGTTGTATTGCCCTCACAGTCTCATGATATGGGCAAATTTGCGTCTGGTAATGCGGGTGCCTTACCCCCGCAGCTGGATAGTACGACGATAGAACCTGAGGTGTTGTCACGATTAGTGCAGGCATGGCACGTGCATAGTATTCGGCTTGCAGGACGTATTTGGGGAGAGTACAAACGACGTGTAAGGTCTCTGAATGCCGTTCCTTCTGATATAGTGGCATATACGTCTTTGGACAGTTATGCGTACTTGTTACCAGCGAGTTTGCGAGCTTTGCTTTGACGGGACGTTTTTGTTTCATTGGTAATTGAGCCATCGAGGAACCTGGTTACCTGAGATTGTGTGAGCGTAGACGGCCAAATATAAAATTCTAAATTCTAAATCCGCTGCGCGCCCAAAGTTCACATACATCATGAGCGGATTGACTATTCAGGTCACAGTATACATAAATACGGCAGACTACATTCTTAGGCTCATCATTTTTCACGTTCTGCCCGGCATTCGAAGCTATTCTTCGTGCGGACAGCGGGAAAATTTACGACGACGGAGACCCCATCTACGAGTTACTCCACTCGCAGAATCAACGCAGATGTTGCGGTCCGCAGTCTAACCCCGCAGTCCTGTATTTGGACAACGAGTTGTCCCGAGCCAATAAAGTTGAAACGCGGGTTTTATCCTCACAGCCTTGTAGGAGATTATTTAGTATGCATATTATTCCTTCATGCAAAGTTGAGAACTACATGATAATGCCCTCCACTCTCATCAGAAAAGTACATCTGGCGCTGAGATTGCGCAATGCGCAAAGCCAGCATAATATTGAGGTTGAAAGGGTTTATGTACACCACTTAAACATAAATTTTACGACCAACTCTTATACTCACCTTACAAAATGTCTAACACCTACAATTAGTAAAATCACGGCACGTCAATCTGTAAACTCATAAATAGTATTATACGTTTAAGTCCCGTGGCCAATGACTAGGGTGATGAGGATGATTTAGCTTCCCTTTCATTCATATTGAAACTAGCGACTTACTTCTGTGCAATATCATTTTGGCTACAGATCCGTAAAGCCACAACTTGGCCACGGGCGTCTTCGATATGACACAATTATGGTATAACGTCCAAAAGTTATGACTCACCAGTAAGTGGCATCCTGCTGCGAATCGGTACTTTTGACTTCGTATGTCATTTGTTGGAGCAGTGGATATCATATGGCGGCAGTTAGATATACCTGGTCTATTCATTTGATAATAGATACTACATTATAATCCTAAATGTGATGGCCCGTTTGTTGCAATCTGTCACATGAGTCAAGCTGTAGTAACCATAGATCAGTAGTCAAACTTATGCCCTCTCGATATATGTTTCAAACTATTTTTACTGTGGAGCATCTCTTGCACTTACTTCGTTCTGATGCATGATTTCAATCTCAGGCAGTAATCGCATATATTTCATAAACAGTGACGAAAAGTAAAGGTTTCCCAGACACCTCTAGTGTATATGTATTGGCTGTCATTCAATGTCTCAATTGTGTAGCCTCGCCATGTTACACAATTAGGTCTACATGGGGGATACGCGATGCTGTGGCAGCAATGTGCTGTGTGTGACAATTCCAGCTTCGTTTGTCACTCTAGATCCATGCCATTCATTTGCGTTTCTGTTCAATTTTGAATAGCTGCGTATCCATTATATTGATCCCACAATGTACATTATTGTGTACATAGATAATACAAATAGGTAGTACATGCATTAGTAAAACGTATCACTGGCAGCGTCTGGCAGAAGTGTTAGCAACAGAGTATTGCGCTACATTCTGAGGCAAGTAAGTAGACACATTGCGAGCCCCAAATACCTTTCTACAAAGTGTAAGTAATGTATGAACAACAGAAAGCTTACAACACACTCACCTGTTCCACCAAACAAGAAGAGTGTCGATGGAGGCTTTGGCGGCAGATGTAGGTGGATGCTCGAAGTAGTCGATGATGTAGATGTAAAACTGACGATGATCAAACTCATCATCAACGATACGCCAGGCACCACAGCTTGATAAGGCAAATCGTAACTGGGATTCCAGGTCCCTTCAGTTATCGTCGTGTCTAAGAAAATTATTAAACATACTTGGACTGCTGAATAGGCGATAGCTCGCGGTTGAACTGAGCGCATTCCTAATATTGTCGCAATGTTGGACCGGGTGCGCCGTTCACCTGAGGTCCTAGACCACTTGTGCGATGATTCCTGGTAGCCCAGGGGTTCTTCTTCGTCAGGTCGTATCTCCCCAGCAGAGCTGGGGGATGTAAAAATATGTTTGAAAGTCTGTGCCAATAGGTGAGTACAATCCCTTGAAAGGAGATACTAATACCCACCCTGACGAGCCAAGCACTTTTGAACAGCCCTTTCGTCGGGTCGTCAGGGTCGTATTTGCCGTTACTATACAAGAATGCTGGCCATGAATGGGCAGTGACTTGGAAGTCAGGTTCGTAGTTTCGGATCCCTTCCTTCGTTCTATGGCTATAATCAGTATGAGGTGTAGTAAGCCAGTTAGTGAGGTCATACCTTGGATTGGCCCAATGGAAATCCACAGGACATAGAAGTTCCCCGGTCGCATCATGATAAAATCCACGTCCGGACTTGTCGACTGAGGAGATTGGTGGGTTGGGGGTAGGACGGCTCTCATTGAGCCACGAAGCCACTGTTTTCTTCAAAGAACTAGCATCATCGCCCCGTGCTGAATCGGCACCTTTATTGAGCTGAATTCAATTGGGTTTAAACATTGATGTGACTACTTGCATGACGGACAACTTACTTTTTGATAAGCAACGTTGAGCTGATATCCGTCACTTTGAGAGTTGATAAGGCTGCGGACACATGGAACCCAGCGAAGTAGCTGTTGAAATGACTGATAGGTTCGTTCCTCCCTAGAATATTGAAAACAGGATCAAATCAACCGACTGAAGTACTCGAGCATAATACTCACTCTTCCGTGTGTTGGTCATCTTCATCACATAGAGCGCTCCTTCGATCGTGCTCTCCGATAAGGTCCTCAACCCTGTCAGTTAAGCTCACGAGGCGCCGGATGGCTCGGCCAGCAGGGACATATATATCACCATGGCTATTGGACATCAGCTGCGTCAGATACATATAGAAATCCATGTTAGTACAATACCTTTTGTTGCGATGGCTTTCTCCCTGCAGCTCAGCATTTTGCTCTTCTAGAGCAGCAATGCGCCGTTTGAGAGCGTTATGGGTCGCATTAGGTGAATTGTTGTCAGAAGGACTCGGAGACTGCGACATGGGTAATAGGAACTTGAAGGAAAAAATGAGGGTGATTGATGTACCCAAGATGATAAGCTTTTCAAGCACCGATATTTGAAATTGACGTGGAGCAAGATTTACGGATGTATAACAAGATTTATGCTTGTCAGAGCCGTTGTAACGGGAAGGACTGCAATGGAACCATGGCCAGATTACGATGTGCGGGGACTAAAGTCGAATAATTAATAAAATGCTCCACTCTGTTTGAATGGAGCAGACCATGATGTCGTTATACGGACCCTTGTGGTGTTTCCGAAAAGAACGGAAATGTGGTGTCAGAGCAAAGGGGTATTGAGCGCAAGCGAAACTCTGAGTCGGATCTCATTGCGGAACTTGTAGCGTCATTGTAATGTCATGGTGGGTCCATGCAAAGGCTCATCACTGGCATCAAAGGTGGTCGTGGGGGCGCTGTGACAGCAGTGTGATGTGTCTGTTTTGCTGAGAGCATCGCTGCAAAGAGGGATCTTTGACAATTGTGGGCTATCAGTGATCTGTTGTAGCCCCGTAGGAGGTATTCTGTATCCTGGACTTGAGTTACCCGTGCTGCTGCTGCGACTGGAAGTGGGCCTCTGGAAGACCTGTCCGCCAAATGAAACGATAAGAATCTTCGTCTCATCTGGATTGTGTAGATGTTCAGGGACACCAAGTGACGAAAGAAATCGGGATCGACCAATAGGCGAGTAAACTGTGTCTGGTCTTTTGCTAATACCACGAACGAGAAGAGGAGCTTGGATGATGCTGCGTGCAAGCGGTTTCTTAGGGTGCGAGTCGGTGAAAGGTATCGAAGGATGGAGTAGGTGTGTGTCGGGTTTCTTCCTGCGGGTTTGTTCATGATGATGCTGTCGACGCTGAGTACCGATACAGCGGCTTCTGTTGCGAGCTTGATGGCCCACTGTTTTGCGGCTAGTGGGTTGAGAATCTTGAAGTCGGTAGCTAGCAAAGTGCCATCTCGTTCAGCCTAGCATATGATCAATCAATCAAAGGATGATGAACCAGAACTAGTGAACTTCACCTCTATATCGACACCCCAGACTTCGCCGCCCTCCTGCTCGTGCTTGGCCCACAACCGACTGAGAACCCCCACCCCCAAAACAGTTGGAGAGGGATAAGCATTCCAACCTGGGACACCTTCAATTACGGGTGGGGGGTGAAAAGACGGTAAGTTGGTGCTCTGATCGCATTGCGCGGAATTGAGTTCGTTGGAGTGGAGGACTGTGATGGGAGGAGAAATATCTTTGCCATGAACGCGCATGCCTGTGGAAGGGATATGATCTCGTGATGGTAGGGATGAGGCAGAGGTGTCTGGTGTTATAGTAGATGAGAAAGCACCGGATCGCGAACTTAGCGAGTCGATTACGGTGGCGGCTGAATCGCATCGCGAGACATGTCCAAAGGTAGAACGGAACTGAGCAGGTCTAGGAGGGGTATAAGAAGCCACCAAATCAGGGTTGGCATAGGGATGTACGAAGTCCTCGTGAGACAGGCGACATTGGGAAGTATGAAACGACGAGACAGTATCACTACGTTCATGACCTCGTGTAACCTCCGAAACTGGAGAGTATGGTGCGGGTGTATCTTGTGTGAAGGACGACGGCCGAGAAATGTGTCCCTTACTAACTGGAGGAAGACGAACCCCGAGTTATGGCAAACCGTACTATGACCTCAACTAGGCTCTTCGAGTGTGCAAAAGAACGGGGCGCATTCAAATCATGCGTTCACATTTATTCGCAAATGGGTCTTTGAGAAAATAGCGTGAACCTGGCATTGGAGAAGGGTGACTTGGAGCTCGCAAAGGAACATGCCAACAAACCGGAGGACGACGCACCGTTGCAGAAGAAGCTTTGGCTCAAGATTGCGCGATACGTGGTGCAGGATAAACAGGACAGTTGTGCCAGCCATCCCGGGCCGCGTGAACCATTCCGGCAAATGCCGGAGATGTCATAAACAGCCAAAACGGGACATGTACGAATCTAAGTTACGATACGAACGACATTAACTCTGCATTAACTCACTCTAAACATCTACCGCTCCAGTAAAACATGAACAACAACACTGATGCCAATGGAGGCGGAGGAGTCGGAAATCAGAACGCAGAGGGAAATCAGGAGCATCAGGTACATCAAGAATTTTTTAATAAATCAGTACTCACCGGTATCCTACAGATCCCTCAACATCTTCTTCAACTCATACCGAGGCCTCGCAATGTGATGTTCACGATGACCGAAAGGCAGATAGTAAGTAACGAATCATCCAGGGGTTACAGTCTTTAACATTTCATGTACGTTACATGGGCCGGTGTAGAAACAACAATACAATGAGGAACAAAAGAAGCTCCTGACTGTATCTGTAAAAGTTGTAAGGTCGCGCGCTGCCTAGTCTGCGTTACTTGAGAAGCAAGTGCGTTCGACCCTATAGGGGAAGTGAGTGCAGCAAGGATCTAGAAGTGTGCGCTTAAGCGAAGCGCGAGAAAGCGCAGGAGCGCGCAAGGTACAAAGGCGCGGGAACGCGCGCGCGTATTAGCGCGAAGCGCGGGAAAGCGCGCGCGTGTAAGCGGAAATAAGAGAGACTAAACTTATGTGAAGATATAAGCAAGATCAAGGATGTGAGATGTGTTGTGCTAATGAATAGATTTCTACTGCGACTTTCTAAGTAGTAAGTACTAGGTAAAGTTGGGTGAAAAGTAAGGTAAATAATAGTATGTACTGCTGGCACTTATATAGCGCGCCTAAGCGCGCTCATGCGGAGCCGAAGCGCTACCGAGTAGGTATGTAAAAATATATATGAGTGAGAAACTATGATAAAAATAAAGGTGGAACTATGCTAATAAAGGAAATGGAAATATACGCACTAGGGAGCTTGGTGGACAGTGGATGGATGCATCTGGATGGCTGGCGCTATAGGGCGCGCAAGCGCGGGAACGCGCGCGCGCGTATACATCGTGAAGCACGGGAATGGTGCGCGCATGGCGCGCGTTGCGCGGGAAAGCTGCGCGTCATATAGGAATCACTGTGGATGGTACACAGAGTGATGCTGCGAGTTGGTGCTGTATACTCCCTAGTGTAAAGCGCCATATCACACTATGAGATGCACGAGTCTCTACATCTCCCAGGGACTTTGAATTCTGAGTGTCCCCACTCAGCGCGCGTGTGGTGAGGATTTTGCGTGATAGTATGCGAGTGCGATGCCTGTATGATGCTTGGGTTGTTGGGTGATGAATGCGCGAGCATAGGAATTATCGCGTGGATGTGCGTGAAGCGCAGGAAGTTGCGCGCATGGTACGCGCGAGGCGCGAGAATGTGCGCGCGCTATGCGTGAAGGCGTGGGAATGAAGCGTAGCATGGTGGGTTGCGAGGGTGACTCTGGTGTGAATAGTGCGCCATGGGTGTGGGGTGATGATGCAAGGGTGATATGGATGTGGCACGCGAAGCATGAGCGAGACGCGCATGTACAGCGTGAAGCGCGGGAAAGCGCGCGCGCACAAGGCGCAAGAAAGCGCGTGAGTGTTGCGTGTGTTGTATTGTGCATATGATGTGAAGTGGTGCGGTCCAAGAGCGATCCAATCCAAGTCCAAACCAAGTCCTGCTAGGCGCGCTAAATATTAGGTGGTAAGGTTTGAACAGTGTGAGTAAAACTATATGTGAAAATGCGAAGGAAAAAATGGTAAACTTTGCGGATGTCCTATCCGACTTGTCTTCTTTGTGCGGCTGTCGACATCTACACCTTCCTATGAGCGAGGCGCGGGAAGCGCACACGCGCGCGCATGAGGCGCATGGGCGCGGGAATATTGCGTGCATATGCGTGCGTTCTAAGGTAAAAAGAGCATGGTGCCGCGTCATGCATGCGAAGAGAAAATAATACTATTGAGCTAGGCGGACACAATCTAAGGTTGTTTTCTTGTATGTTCTTCTAGGCAATCCCTATATGCATATATATCAGTGAGTTATTAGTCCTTGGGACGGCATTATAATGAGAGAAACAAAAATGAAAGCGCGCTGGACGAAACCCAGGGTAAAATGAATGATATCCTATGAAACAACAATGTTATATGTTGTTCTTTGATGCGCGGCTGAGGCGCTTGATCCTCCTCCTTGAGCGCGTGCGAGTGCGCGTGACTAGCGCGCTTCGCGTCTCTTGCGAGCTGACGCTTTACTCAAGGTAGGGTTGGAATGAGCGAGGCTGGCGCGCTTGGGGGGGGCTTGTAACTGGCAGAATGAATTCCTGCACAACGCGCTGCAGGTTGAAGGCGCGCCAATGGGAGGCGCTGCAAGGGGTGTAGGGGCGCCCTACAAGCTGATAGGATGCGCGCGATGTGCGCGCCTTGGTGCGATTTCGCGCGAATTTAATTATATTGGCCGAACACGCGAGGAACGGCCATTTCTCTGCAAATGCATTAGCGAGAGACATGTATAGTGAAGAATTAGGCGCAAATGTTGCGCCAATGGGCTGTAAGGGTGGTATATCAAGGCGCAATAGGCGCATAGGTGAAGGAGAATAGTGCGCATCAAGGTGCGCAGGAATGAAATTGACATGGTAAGCAAAAGTGCGCAGAATGTGAATAAATGTGGGAAGTGCAAAGTTAAAGATGATGATAGGGGAGTTAGGCGCATATGTATGTGTCAGGCGCGCGCCTAAGTCGCGCCTGGATGGCTGATTGAAATATACTTTGTGTTGAATGATAGAAATGCGGTTTAGAAGGGGAGAAGCGATAGAAATGCGGTAGCGTGAAAACTCTGCTAAAATTATGAGTGCGCGAGGCGCGGGAACGCGCGCGCATATTGCGCGATGCGCGTGATCATGGCGCGTGAATAAGGGGTGGTGCAAAGATGAAGTTACAGTGTTTGGAAGCATCATATAGCTCCTTAAGAGCTTTAAACATGAAAGAGACAGAAAACGCGAAACAAGATGAGGAAAAATATACAATGCCTCTAGGCGCGTGCATTGCGCGTCCTCAGGCGCAATATGGTGCGCCTGAGTTGCGCCAGGGTCGCCTGAGACATGCTCTGCTTGGTGGTTGTGCAGCGTGATGCACGGATGTTTTACCGGTGCGCGATAGTCACTGGAAGCAAAAAGCGCGACATGCGCGCAATCGTTAGTGACAATTGGAGTTACCAGAGGCAAACTCTGGTTGATGCAAGATGCAACTTGAGCCTCTGATGTGGTAGGAGGCTCCTCTATAGGCGCGCTAAGGTGCAATAGATGTTTAGGGTCATCCCTGACCTCTAATGATGCGAGCAGTGATGGTGATGGTGCGATTGGCGAGGTTTCTTCCTTAAGCGATGCGATAGCGAGGGGCGAGCGTGTTTCTAGTGGTGCATTAGTGTGCAATAGATGTTTAGAGTCATCCCTGACTGATGGCGAGGCTATAGCGATAGGCGCGTGCGATGCGATAGCGATAGGTGCGCGTGTTTCAACTGGCGCGTTAGTGTGCAATAGATGTTTAGAGTCATCCCTGACTTCTGGCGCAATTGATGGTGATGGTGATGATGTGGATTGTGAAGGAGATGGTGCTGCTGAGGATGATGGTGAAGAGGCGCCTGCGGTGCACTTCTGGTTGCGCTTAGCAAGCGCGCGCTTGAGTTCGTGATCTAAAGTGGTGCGTTCTGGTATGGCTTTGCATGCTGGTGCAGTTGATGGTTGAGGTGCGCGTGAATCGCGCGAAGGCGCGGGAAAGGCGCGCGTGCGAGGCGCGAGAATTGGAACTGGTGGCCTTTTGTTAAGTGCAACTTCCGAGGGTGCGCGATAGAAGAGTCCAGCTGTCGCATTAGCGCTAATGGTTGTATCCTGTGTTGCACGACTCGCTTGATAGCAATCTTGGCACTTAGCCACTGGTGCGCTAACTGGCATGTTTGGCGCTATAGTGGGCGCGCTAATTGGTGCGCTTACTGGTGCGCTTGGCGCGGGAAAAGCGCGCCCAGATAATAGGAACTGCGCAGCTGCAAAGACGTCCATAAATGGATATGGGTCGTATGGAAGGTGGTCAGGAAACTTGATCATAAGGCGCAAGCGAATTTGCGCCTGAGCGTCGCTAGGGATTCCTTCCATGAATAAGCAGTCGCGTTCTACCTTTCCAATATGGTCTTCATCCATGAGTGGCTGCATAATCTTCCTGAATGCGCGCAGGTAATTGCTGAGTTCTGTGCAAGAGGGCATTGGTTTGTTAGCGTATTCGCGCGCGATGGCGCGCAAGTCTGCGAGCGCGTAGCGTCTTTTACCATCCCATCCAGGATACATTACCTTTACCTCATCTAAGAAGGCGTCGTAATCGCTTACTTGCGCTTCAGGCATGCCTCCCCATAGTTCTCGGTCATCGCGCTCAAGGTAGCGGATAATACCTTTGATGCGGTCGAGTCCTTGGAGTCCTGCATCATCAGCGAGCTGCTCATAGGTGTCAATAAACTCGGCAAGGTTGTCTGTAGTGCCATCAAACTTGGGCGCGTTTGCTGTGCCGCAGATGGGCATTCTGAAGGGCATTGAAGTGCGTGAAAGGTGCGCGCGCAAGGCACACAGGGGTGGGAAAGCGTGCGCGCAAGGCGCGAGAATGCGTGACTAGAAATTGGTTAGCTTTTGAATATGCAAAGAGATTGACCTTTATGCGTTAAATAGTGTGAAGTGCGAGAAAGGTGCGCGCGCGAGGCGCACAGGCGTGGGAATATTGCGCGCGCGCAAGGCGCGAGAATGCGTGACTAGAAAATGATTAGCTTTTGAAATGCAAAGATATTGACCTGTATGCGCGAAATGCGCGGAACTAGATCTTGCTGACTGCTCCCCTCGCGGTGGGCTCCAGTTGTAGAAACAACAATACAATGAGGAACAAAAGAAGCTCCTGACTGTATCTGTAAAAGTTGTAAGGTCGCGCGCTGCCTAGTCTGCGTTACTTGAGAAGCAAGTGCGTTCGACCCTATAGGGGAAGTGAGTGCAGCAAGGATCTAGAAGTGTGCGCTTAAGCGAAGCGCGAGAAAGCGCAGGAGCGCGCAAGGTACAAAGGCGCGGGAACGCGCGCGCGTATTAGCGCGAAGCGCGGGAAAGCGCGCGCGTGTAAGCGGAAATAAGAGAGACTAAACTTATGTGAAGATATAAGCAAGATCAAGGATGTGAGATGTGTTGTGCTAATGAATAGATTTCTACTGCGACTTTCTAAGTAGTAAGTACTAGGTAAAGTTGGGTGAAAAGTAAGGTAAATAATAGTATGTACTGCTGGCACTTATATAGCGCGCCTAAGCGCGCTCATGCGGAGCCGAAGCGCTACCGAGTAGGTATGTAAAAATATATATGAGTGAGAAACTATGATAAAAATAAAGGTGGAACTATGCTAATAAAGGAAATGGAAATATACGCACTAGGGAGCTTGGTGGACAGTGGATGGATGCATCTGGATGGCTGGCGCTATAGGGCGCGCAAGCGCGGGAACGCGCGCGCGCGTATACATCGTGAAGCGCGGGAATGGTGCGCGCATGGCGCGCGTTGCGCGGGAAAGCTGCGCGTCATATAGGAATCACTGTGGATGGTACACAGAGTGATGCTGCGAGTTGGTGCTGTATACTCCCTAGTGTAAAGCGCCATATCACACTATGAGATGCACGAGTCTCTACACCGGCGCACGAGTCCGCGTGCGTCAGGAACTCTACCAACCTGAGTTACCGGTTCAACCCTACCCTCAGCCCCCGGTCTGGACAGAAGAAACGCGTGCGATGATAGTGCTTTGGATCGCGAGGGAGCGCCGAATTTTCCAGATGGAGGTGGAGGAGATGGAGTGTCTCCTGGGACTTCGGGGTGCGCATTAGTGCTTCTAGGTAAGCTGCTTTTAAAATTCTGAAATTTTGAACGGACTTACAGATATTAGACCATACACAAGTTCTAAGAGGCTGGAGGGAGGTTTAGCGACTGCACACATTGGACACTTGCGCGATATACGTACCATGTAACACCACCATACAAATCCTACAAAGTCGATCCAACCTGTATATGTTTTTGCCGTTAGTATTGTCCACTTTCCCGCACAGAGAACTGAACATATTCGATTCAGACGCTAGGACCAAACGCTTCGCCAGCACCGTCCGCCAACTGACATATCTACCAGGAGCATCGAGTGCCAGATACGCAATGTGCTTTAGCGATAAAAAAAAGTGTACCAGACCCGACGAACGAACCTCCAGGTCACCGGTCCACACATCAAGAGCTTCACCAGGATCAACGTGCCCTACTTTGACAACCATCGAAGAGTCAGCTCCAGGTGAAGACTCCCCCGCAACGAAGTGAATCAGAGTTGTCTCTGGCCAAGCCTTGTCTCCCTGGTTTAACATCCGTCAGGACTTAATGAACTCAGCACCAGGTAGAAAAATCTGACCGCTAGGAACTGTCGTGTCGGACACAAAAGCACCCTCGATAGTGTCATGACCGTGCAATTATGTCCCGGTCGCATGGAGTCTTGGTCACGCCGGACATCGTAGGTAGTGTAGTTGACTTGAAAACGACGTGGTTGCTGGACTCGAGACAGGTTATTGATGAAACGCAGCTCATTCCTCTCGGAATCAGAAAACAGATGCTCATCGCCATCATATTCGAGACCTGATCAATCGTCTGGACCAAGTTACTATAAGGTGAGATCGATTGTTCGCGATAAACCAACTTGATAGCATTCGAAGTTGGTTGCGGATGGATGGATAGAGCAGCAGGTGCCGATTCTGGCGTCTTCCTATCTTTGTTAGCAGTTGGTGGGACAAAGTTGTCGGGTTTCAGTAGGTGGGGACATCATTGATTGAGGTGGCGGAGGAGGCATTCCATATTGCGATTGCATTTGTTGGGGGGCACTGCCTTGACCATGCTGACCCTGCGACTGTTGTAATAATGCGAGGATATTTGGAGGTAAACTAGGAATTCCAGTGTGCACCTGCCCTGGCTGAGGAGTGGGTGTCTGAGAAGGCATCTGAGCATATGGGTTAGCACTGGGGCCAGGCGGAGGAGTGAAAATAAATGGCAAGCGCCAGAGTTAGGATCCGAACTGACATATTTTGATAGATTCCCAAAAAAGAGATATATCGGCCATGCGGTAGACTAGGAATTCCAGTGTGCACCTGCCCTGGCTGAGGAGTGGGTGTCTGAGAAGGCATCTGAGCATATGGGTTAGCACTGGGGCCAGGCGGAGGAGTGGAAATAAAATGAGGCATGAGGAGATCGTGAGGACCGTGAGTCGTGTGTTGAAGATAACAGCCGGAGGTAAAAAGCAGAGCACGAACTAAATCAAAGAGCAGGTATAACTGTAGTGTCAGTACTGTAGCACAACAGATACTCGGAGAAAGTCCGCTCACTGCAAATCATAAGATAGATGCCGTCAAGGCTATCACTTTGCCCCAAGGGCATGCTTCAAAAGCTCCCGTGACAACTGTTATCACACTGAGTACATTCCATTTCAAGAATGAGCAGGCTTACCTTGATGAAGATTCTGAACGGTCTGTCTCAAAAAATGCGCACTGACTTGAAACGCGGCAGTTATGAAGAGTTGAAATCAGGGAATTGAACCAAGAAAGGCTAAATCTGTTAGTCATGACTCAACACTTGAGCTTACTAAGCCCAACTTGTCTCAAGATGTAGGTGCACGAATGATATCAAGGGTTAATTGGATCACTGGGACACTGCTTCAAATACACGTGCTAGGAGAGCAGTTTGCTCTTGGAGTATCATAACGATTTCTTTTCCTAACCCAGTGAGTCTCTCTTTGTCCCCGTTATCGGTGGTACGCCGCTTCTTTGCAGGTGGAAGTTCTACTTGTGAGTTTGTGATATCGCGAGCAAAGTCCCGGCGACTCTGAGCCTTTTCATGCTGAGGTTGATTAGTACTATGTGATAATTTGAGACAAGACCTCAGATGAGACTCACTTGCAGCCTGTTAGATTTGCAGCCGAAGCTCGAGTCACTTGACAAGGCACGTTTCAAAATTGTCTGTGGAATATTGACAGGAAAATTTTCATGCTAGTAACAAGAACGCTCATGAGCTATTTCGTCACATGGTATTAGGAAATATTACCTCCTGCTCAGCATCTTCTCTCGTGTTGTGTGTTGGTGATTGTGACCTTTGGGAATCCAATGTCTCCTGAGCATCGAGACCTGGTTTCGCTCTTGATTGAGAGCAGGCTTGACTGTATATGTAGTTCCCTTGCGAATCAGCTGATGCTCCTTGACCATTTGCGGGGAAATGCCATCTTTCAGAATCTGGTGAGTCTCTGACTCCGAGGATTTGTGAAGCACCGTCATTGCGACTAGAGCCTCGAGAGCTATGTTCAGAGCTTTTATCAGGATCATAAGGCATTGTGAAAGATATCTGACAATTGAACGCTACCTCGTCCTCCAAGTCAGGCTAGTAGTACCTCTTACCACCCTAATGATATCATTCGTGGAGCATCAATTACATTTCCAAGCACATGATTCACGGCGACCTGACTAGCGTAAGTTTTGCATATGCTGTATGGGGAAGAGACGAACAGGTGGTACTCAGGTGGAGCGCGAACGCGAGGTGGACGCGAATCGGTTCCGCGTGATCAGATGTTCTGTCCTTACATGTTAGATTTTCCGAACGTGGTAAGCTGTATGTCAACCGTACTCGGATTCGATGAAGTGACACCAAGGCCAACGGGCCCCAGATTGGCCTGAGGATCGTGTCAGACAGCGGCACCTTTCTAACTTGAAATTCCAAACCTGTAACTCGGTCTTGAACACTGCACTGATAATATGCTCCGTTTGCCACACGAGATCGAAAGGACAGTCTTTCAACTTGCAGCAGGCGTCCATCCTGCAAATGATGTGCACTCGTATTTATTGGTCGCCCCCAGAGTTCATGACTGGTAGGCAAAAGTCCTGAGATATGCTGGATTCAGTTGTGACTTACAAGATGGTAATAGGATTGAAGGATTGATGTATCGAACCGTTGTCCTTGCCAGTGAGGCACGAGCATGCCTCTTTGTTGATTCACTTCGTTCTCGACCAGTGTTTGCTTCTGTGAATGTCAAATCTCTCTGTATTCGCGGTATGGTGCAACTCGCCACAGCGGTAGAGGTCATACAACTGTGCAGTGGTATTGTCGACCTCGCCCTCTGGATTCTGCCAGAGGGGGATCATGACATGCTGGATCACCTATTGGATGCATTAAACAAGCTACCTTTATCACGGCTGTCTATCCACTTATCGACCGTCTTCCGTAGAACTGACATGCCATTCCTACCATCCATCTCTCTATTCAGCAAAGTCACCCACCTTGACTTGTTGGAAGGTTGGGTGCTTTGGGGCTCCCCAATCGGCATACATTGCCTAACGCAACTTACACATATTTCCCTTCGACTGTTCACTGATCGGACAGCACCAGCCTTGCTGCAAATGATCCTTGCAGATTGCATTCACCTGAAGGTATTGGTTTTGCGTGTAACAGAGGAAGTTGGCAGGGTAGAAAAATGGTTGCAGGAGCACGACGGTCTCGATGATCATCGTATTGTTGTGACGGCCAAGAGCTCTCGTGATACCTGGAATTGCAAAACAAGTGATGGTATGAGTCTGTGGCAGTATGGAGATTATATTGCAAAGTGTCGAGACGCGATACATGAATGTACATACAATTTAGGCCGAGAATATCTGCAATGATGGTATATGATCATATGGCATCATATGGTTGTCGTTGCACGTTTGTATTTGTTTGTCTGCAAGTTTATGGGTAACGATGCACCAAGTCCTGACTCCATTTCCGCCAAATCTAATATTGACACTACTTCAATCATTTGCCGCGTCACCCATGTTATATTACATCGCTCGCTTACCAGTATACCATACTTTCTCCAATAAGATATGGTAAGCATCAGTCCTCCACAGTCTGCGTTCAGTCTTGATCTGTGGTGCAGATCTATCGCCACCATGAAGTTGAACCTCACCACCATAACCATGACATGGAGCACAAGAAAGCAGGATCTCTCCTCGGGCGTGTTCACTGCACCATTATGGCCCTCGGCCTATGGGACTCGGGTCGCGCTGTCGCGTTCGTTCTTGGTGAGTACTTGTATTGTATCGCTAAATTATCTCTGATGTGCTTGGAAAGGTTGCGGAATCGGTGTTTTGCTTCGCATGTTCTGGGTAATGTCTGTCCTCGTGTATCGCACTGTCAGAGGTGAGCGATCGGAGAAGATCAGCCACGGGTACATCATGTTCGAACATGATGCAGAGACCCACTTCGTGCCTCCTCCTGAATACACTGACGAGAATCCATTCCTTCCCCTTAAGCACTTCATCTACAAACTTCCTGTTCATTCGCTAAACAAGCTCGAGTCCCTTGCTCTGGTGTCCCATGACCTTACAATTTCGCCTGCTGTTGGCATTAGTGGCTGGGGCACATCATTTACCGCAGTCGCTCCCTTCATACGCCCAACCAATTTCTTGTTCCTCTTCGAATCTGGAAGCACCTCTCTCACACTCCAGTTCAGAGCCCGTCTTCCTTAGCTTTTGCGGGCGATCGTCCAGCCATCCTGGATCTGTGCTTGAAGATATGTTTCTGGACCAGATGCTCTCGCGCATCTTAGATCTCTGATTCCAACTCGCAACACTACTGCAATTGATCACCACGAACGTGCCATACCATAATTTCATACATTTCATTTGGGAATGCACTAATCTACCCATTCTGTACTAGTATCCGCCGCCTGCAGCACTGTCAGTTTAATATACAGTGTCTTATGCTCTGATCTGTGTGATCGTGGAGTGGTTAGTGTTTGTCGAAGTTCCTGCATGAACTTTTTTTACCTTCTGAGTCTTTCTATGTGGGCTCTGGCTGCAGCGCATTTATTGTGTCGATGACATGAACATAGAAATTCATGATCATCAGAGGGCACAGGTTGTAAAATATATGAAGGCTTTCTGGAGAGACGATGCACATATCATCTAGAGTCTTCACTCCCATCAGTTTCAAAGGGGTGAGGAATAACTCTGGCCATTGCCGCGCCGGCTCATCATTACTGAGCTGCTCCATAAAGGCTTCCAAAGTGGGATATGGAATTGATGGGTCGGTTTCAATCTCCACATCGATGAGTATGCTTGAAGTGATAGTAGTTACTGACATGGGGTCGTGATAATAGAGGAACAATGACTTGGACTCAGACTTTAATGCGCGGCTGTACTCACTATGGCATCTTTATAACAGAGCTTAGGGTACTACAAGCTCCAAGGATGCTACAAGCTCCGATCCTAGGGCGCAACATGATGCGACTTGGCAGTGACTCGGACTCAATGCGGCGACTCAGTGAACTCCGATCAACTTACGCATGGTTCACGCTAAGCTTAATGTAAACTAAGAAGCCGCAATATATGGTCATGTATTAGCCTCACCAGTTTGATCTGAGTCATCACTAGGTTCTGGGGTATTCAAGTGATCCAAACTCCACGGGTCTTATTGGCACTGCGTTCGTTGTGTCATGATTGGAGTCAAAGTTTTTGTTTGTTGACTAATGGAGATCAATTAGATAATCGCACGCACCTTTACCTGCCAGCAATTGAACAGGCCTTCAGCCCAATCGCAATCGTCATGTCCACGACCAGCACAATCACTATCAGGAGTCATTCCTCACAATCCCATAGCCCTAAAAACAACAGCCAGGGCAGGCCTACTTGCAAAGTGAAAGTTATCGAACGATACAAGCAGCCTCCAACCAGGTTAGCAACGAGCCGGGGGAGAAAGCCGGCGACCAAGGACACTTCTACATCTCAAGCCACCCTCCGTGAAGTCAATCCAAATTTGACCAAGGCTCCCGTTACGGCACGACACAAGGTGCTTAAATTTGTCTCACAATCGAATGGTGAGGCAGATTGCGAGGTATGTCTGTGCGCTTCAACATTCATTTACTTAATCATTACGTTGCCAGGTATTTCAAAATATCACTCAAGCGGACTACAATTATATATCTTGCAAAATCGAAGACTACCCTGCAAGACCAAGGTAAACATATTCCAATAATTTCTTTCGAGTTATAACATACAATTCTTCTAGGTTGGAATACAACTGCAATACCCATACCCTTGTCGTTGAAATGCCATCCTCCGTACACGAGGCTATAATCAAGGTTATCGGCAAAGGATTGGAACGTCTAGACGATTATTTGCAGGATCTCATGGTCGAGAATTTACTGTCCTCAGACACCCAT